GAGGAGATGTACACGAGGCTAGCTTTGGGGTGTCGCCTCTCCGCAGAGCTTTGAGCCTGTTGTACCACCGTGGTTTCTAGCAAGTCTCATAGCTCCTTGTGAACATGTTTTCCTTCGTCGGTCGAGGGTTCAGGGGTCGTTCGCATGATCATGGCGGCCACCGTGACATTCTGGCTGGCTCGAGGGAAGACGGGTGTCTCCCTCTTGCCTTGTTGGATTTGGTCATATACGTGGCGTGCCCACGCTCGTGCGCCCTCAGTGTCGAGGTGTTGTAGGCTAGGGCATCCGTCATCGCGGCGTTAGTTGGCCTGCTCGGCTTCACGGGCCCTGGCTCGTTCCAAGCGCTCCTGGTCGTTCTCCGCCTGTTCCCCAGGGGTGCATGGAATCGGATAGGCGTTGTCCTCTACGCTTCCTGCCGCTAACGCCCGGTCTTTCGAGAGGTGCAACAAGTTGTATTCTCTCAGCGGATGGTAGCTCCCTTCGGAATCAGACTCGTAGTCTGTGTTCCTAGGGGTCATTGGCAGGAGGTCGCAGATGGACTTTGGATCCCGCTCCATCATCCCCACAAACCGGGAGGGGCTTGGCGTCATCGAAAGGCCATTGCGCCTGGCTAGCTCTCGCTAAAAGAGTGCGATCGTGTCCTTCTTCCATAGGGCAACGTAGTGCAGGGGTCCCAAAATTCGACCTCTGGTGGCATGGGCCATTGCTTTCTTCTCAACAATGAAAGTGCGCGACTGTCCCCTACCTGGCGCGCCAACGGTCGGTGTTTTGTAGACCGACTAGTAAATTTATACGATTGTCGCGCTGCTCTAGGAAGACGATGGTAGCATCCAAAAGACACGAGGATTTATACTAGTTTAGGCTGGAGCCCTACGTCCAGTCTCAGAGATGATCGAGTGTGTGTTCCTCGCTTGAATACTCTAAAGTTTTTATAATGGGGGTGCAAGAATGGTGGAAGAGGTAGGAGAATGGAGCTAGAGCTAGAAGATGGACTGCTCGAATGAGAGTTTCGAGAGCCCGATGCCTTGGAAGGGTGCCCTGGCTGCCCTTATATAGGGTCCAGGGCCAGGTCACGTACAAAGAAGGAGGTTCTCCCGACCGAGGGGTCGTGAGCCTGAGGGAGGGAACCTAGCTAACTTGGCTTGCAAGAAACGCCGCCTTTACTTGGCTGCCCTTAATTTTTGTAGCGCACATCTGGGCATGGTTGTCGTCATGGTCTTGTGGCCACATCGTGGCATGGGGTGGCGTGGTGCTACTATGCCGGTTGTGACAGCACTATAGGCACGGTGGTGATTCGCCAGCCATCCTGGGCGACGTGGTCTCATCATGGCTTTCATCATCGCCTCCTGATCTCCCGGAGGCATCGTATGGGAGTTGGTAGCCATCCCCAGGTCATTGGTCGTCTTGTTTCTTGCGGAGCTAGTGACCACAATCCCAAGCTCCAGGGTCGTGGCCTTTGTCGGCTTGGATGGCCTCAAAGTTAAGGCTGCTGTCGTGAAGCCCATCCCATAGTGGGTGGGGTCGTACACCTGTCTCGTCAGACAGTATTTGGACGGTGGATCACTGTACTGGCCGACACCGCTTGGTGGTGTTGTCTTGTCTTTGCTGTGTGGCGCAGGGATGACATCTGACCGGGCTGAGGGGGTTGTTGTCCCCTCGGTCCTTGCGGGGTCAGTGCGGCATGCCTGCTCTTGCCAGAGCAGGTGTGTATGGCAGAATCTGATCTCACCCCGTCTCTCTCATGGGTCGGGGCGGGGGAGAGGTCGTGTATCGTTGCACGTCATGCGGCGAAGGCAGAGAGGAGAGGTCGTGGCCAACCCCTGCCTTAGTGCCTGGCCCAGGTCCACGTAGCTTAGCTGGGCCTCGGTTGTTCGGGCTTATACTGGCTCATGTACCATGGGCCGCCCGAGCGACTGACTAATCGGTGTCTTGAGATACCAGGGTATCCTAACCCCGACAGGTATAAGAGCTGTCTCATAGTCCTAAATATTAAGCAAAAATCCTACGTGACATTGCATGAGACGGAGTATGAGACCACTAACGTGTAGCAATATACTTACCCCTAATATGGTGAAGCTAGGGGTGGAATGGATGTATGGAAATCTAAATTATCTGAATCTATATCGGTTAAAACTTGTAATATGGATATTTGTATTCATATCCATTTCTTACGTGGATACTAAATGGATGTATCAAAATTTGTTTTTCAGTATTTTTCTCTAGCTGATTCTAGATCCATATTCGGTAAAGATTTAGAACATCCAACATTTATCCATATTTGCCAAGAACAAGACTTTTCTCTCCATGACTAGTTAATTATTTAATTTTAATATTACTAATGATGCATTGAAACTATTTAGTAATAAATCTATAAGTAAATTTTAATATACATTTAATACTATTAATGATACATGAATATTAAATTAATTTTTAGTATTTTACTAATTTACTTTAAACCTATATATTTGTTGTTCCAAATAATTTTAATATTTTATTTTTTCCTGATGTAAATTATTTTATATAATTTATAATTTCAAAATAAAGTATATAAATATTTTTTATTAATTGATATATTTAATTATTAAATATTCATTGATAATTGTATCATTTTTTATGAGCTATTTTGTCTATGGTATATACCCACGTGCTTTAGTACTTCCTTAGTTTCAAATTACTAGTATAGTGTCCGTGCTATCGCCACGGCTTCATTTGAGGGATGCATATGAAAACAACTAATTTTATCACATAAATAGAGTACAAGACAATCAAGATAGATCCCAATTCATTGTATCATTTTCAGTATATTATAGAAATTTGTCCTGTACATACACCAATACACCATTCAAAGAATGTGTATTATACAGCTAAATTTAACAAAAAAAACATCAGAAACATTTAGCCAACTTTAAAACATAAATTCTCAATTCGAGCTACAGATACCGATCTGCCAATGTTGTCTTCTTGCTTCAGGTGATGTCCAGACATCAGAAACATTCGACTGACCTTTTAGACCTACAATGGCTATATACTCTATCTATACTACAGATTAGTGAAAACAAAATTAAGTTGAATTAATAACCACAAGCTTATAAGCTTAGACAAAAGGTAGGCGTTTACATTTAAGAGGACCTTATTCTTTGAACGCACCAATAATTATATCAATATAGGTTCCATAAGTCTCAGTCAACTGCATAAGAACAGAAGTTAAGGAATTTATTCTTTGAACACACCAATAATTATATCAACATAAGAATATATTCTTGCATAAAGAAAAAACAAGTTGTCAGCTTCATCATGTCATAGTGAATCACATTCATGGAGCGCATGTACTCCAATACCATTCAAGTTAGAAAAAAAAGGAATTTCCCTTACCAGATCTCTCCTACAAACTGCATGCAGTTCTAACTAAGGCTGGATAACGAGCTGGATCGGCTCGACTCGGCTCAGCTCGTTCTGGCTCGTTAAGATAACAAGCTAGCTCGGCTCGGTTCGATATCCTAACGAGCCAGAAAGCCAGCTTGGCTCGGCTCGTTAAAAGCTCGAGCTGGCTCGTTAAACTCGCGAGCCAGGTATAAAAAATACACAAAATATAATATTTACATTTATCTAAAGTTTGAGAATAATAATAATAATATAAAAGAAATGCATCTATACCAGTTACCAGTCAATTTATAGGGTCTAGACCAGTTACCAGTCAATTGTAAAGTGCAAGACATGAAGTAATACAAAAACTAATATAAGTTTTGATACTTTTTTTCTGGAAGCTTGGCTCATTTAGCTCGCGAGCTGGCTCGAGTTGGCACGTTATAGCTAACGAGCTGAAATCTTGGCTCAGCTCGACTCGTTATCATAACGAGCCGAGTCAAGCCAGCCACATGCCGAACGAGTTAACGAGCTTCGAGTTTTTCGTCCAGCCTTAGTTATATGAAGTAATGAAGAATATGCTTCGCTTCTTGCAATTGCACATAGTAGCAAGTAGTTTGGTTGCTTTGAAATACTAGCAGGAACCCCGCGGCAAGCTGCCGCGGGGGCTAGGCACTGACTATCTGTAATAACTTTGGAAGACTTAACTGATTTATTATTCTTGTCAAAGAAGCATTGAAACAACTAACATAAATACATATTCTGTAACTCAAATACAAATTAATGGTAAAAGTGGATTGCCAAAAAAAAACATTTGTTATAGGGAACCTATTGTCTAAATGCCAGTCTCAAAATCGGCTATGAACAAATTGTCTGTAGGTACAAATGAAGACATGTTCCTTCTGTTTAAAGTAAATGAAGCATCATAGCACATTATGATCTTAGGCAGCATGGCAAACATTATGGGTAACGATGAAGGCATGAAACCCTTTCTGATGTTGCACATGATAGGCTTGATGGCCAAAAAATTTTTATGCCAGCATGGGATTAGTCCATTGTACTGCGTTAGATTGCACCATGACCTTAGCAAAGAGGTTTGCAGCAATTGCTTGATGCGACCAAGGTGTAGATTCCATAAATAGGCAACGAAACATAGCACCAAATGTAACCCGACTGTTCAAAATTACATCGATGTGAACCAAAGAAACTCACATTTGTTATATGTACGACATAGCCAGTACCATAAGCATTACTATTGCAATGAAAACGCTATGTAAAACACTATGCAGCCATAACAGAGAAGAAAATGAATGGGGAAGAGGCATTAATGCTGGACTTACATTGATGGTTTCCGAAGTAGCAGCCATGCCAGTCCAGCAAAGATGGTGTACGGTTCGTCATGACTTTGCAGAGTATTGGCCGGTGCAGTAGTTATTTTTAATCATGTCCCAATCAATAACATAATTATCCAAGTTGCGAAGGCAAAGGTAAGGAGCACACATATATGGTAAAGAATAATGTCATCACCGCTAACAAAAACACCAGCTAAAACACATTGTACCGTGTAACGTATCAAGAACCAAAGGCAAGGTGCCATCGCACAGAACGTCCGGGGAGGGGTGGCTGAAGTGCTAATATCATGATGGAATCGTAAGAACGGTAATATGGGATATGGCATCTTCATCAGGTAATTGAGTAATGGCATTAGCATGGACACCAGCTGTGAAGAGAAACATCTATTTATGATAAGCACGAAGGTCATGTTTATCAAGAACAAAGGTAACCCAATAAGGGAGGCATGTGTAAAAAAAATAAAAAAACTCTTGGCCGTGAGATCTGCTGGGACAAATGACAGCACATGGGTGAGGTCTTCACGGATCAGGCACCGACAGTGGCAGGCAGGGAGGCAGCTACACTGCATCCCGGCGGAATTGACGTCAGCAGCCGGGGCGAAGGCCGGGTGGGCGTCAGAATCGATTGGAGAGCAGTGTGCGCCGAATGGTCTACAAACACAGGAAAGCAGCAACGCAAGCACACTCCATTTAGGCATTTCATGAGTACTTGAAGGGCAGGGAATACCAATCACACAGGAAACGACAGTTGGAGACCTCACCGTGCGTACAGAGGGAAGAGAACGCGATGAAGACAGGAGCACCGATCTGCCGGAGGCGAAGAGGAAGACCAACTGGTGCAAACGGCGGCCTTGGAGGTGGTAGCGGTGACCACCTCACAGAGCACAGGTGGCGTGAACAGTCACGGACACCAGCAACGGAACAGGGAGGCAGCAGAGACACACCATGCACGGTGCCAAGGCAGCCGGGAGCCCAAGAGCAGGCGGCGCAGAGCAGGAATGGCAGTGCCGTGCGGTGGAGGAAGGGGAACTGGCGCTTCTGTGGCTACGTGGGGTGTCGGTAGATATGCCAACGTTTGCATCCAGGCTGTAGATGGTGGATCTGACGGCAACAAATAGCAGGTGACGTGGACTCACCAGGGAGTAGAAAATGGTGTATAAAAATAAGGGTAATGGTGGATTAGTCTTACAAAACAAAATAAGTCACAGAATCTCTGGTAATGGAAGTGATACAGATAATGAAATTTCTGTGAGATAATTTACCTACATATGGTATATATGCTTTGTGATTTTGAAAAATCATCAATCACATATTATAGTATTATAGAATAAAAAACAGGAAGCTTGTACAATACCAAGAAAGGAAAAGTGAAGAACTCACCGAGGATTAAATCAGCATCACGTATGGCTTTATTGTTGTAAACAAGAGCCAATACTATTACTGTATGCCACTTTTGAATGCCATCATAACCGCCTTTGAGCTCTTTCCTGCATGCAGATCCAAGAAACATGGCTTATGCATTCAGAATTAGACTGATGAGTCATAAATATTCAAGATTGAAGTTTATACCCTTGATCACTACATTCTAATTACTTTTTGAACAGGAATATCAATGCTGGATTAGGATAATATATCCATGCTATCCTGATCGACATGTCAGCATTTATATTTGCTTCTACTTATCAAAAAAAAAAAAATTGCTTCTTGACCAGATAAGTAACCACAGTGTCTAGCATGAGGCATGCCTAAAAGACATTCTGAAATGTATTAACTTCAGCGCCAATAATGATTATGGAAAGACATTCTGAATAGACTTCTGGGGTGCATGTACATATCAAACATTCAGGCATGTAAGCCTTCATGCATTAATCAATACTGACAGAAAAATGGCAACAACAACAACATAGCCTTTCAGTCCCAAGCAACAGTGCAACAAGTGACACATGTCAAGATGCAGCATATTAGCATTTGAAAGCAAATGTGGAGAAAAAACATCTACAAATTACCTGTTGGTGCATTTGTCCAGATTCTGGGCCCACTGACCAAATAAGGGCACAGGAAAACAGTTAGACAACAAATTTGCAATTCAAAACAGATGGAAAATTGTAGTGATGCAGCTATGAACTCTCGATGGATCCAGCCTTCACGGGTGCGACGCACTCAGGGGAGGTGTCGAGGGAGCCGGCGGCGGGCGGGACAACGCGGCTGATGCGTTGGTCCAGGCCGCCCCATTTTGCTATGGCTGCAATTTGATAATCTCTAACTGAATAACAACTATCTGCTATCTGGAATTTTTTGGAATCTTAGAACAATTTACAAGGGAGCTTAGAGCGGAATTGAAGGCCGACATCTTAGAACAAGCCGAGTGATCAATTGAACCGAACAGAGCGCTAACAATGGAGGCTACTGGAGGAAGACGGCGAAGCAATAAATAAAGGTGACAGCACCGAGCAGTCTAGTACCAGAGCCGCTAGCTGCAAAAGATTAAACAAACAGATATTGAAGGAGAATGATGAACAGGTACAGGAAAGGTTACTGATAAGATATTTTGCACAGAAAAAAACAAACAATTGACAGTACATACAATTTGGGATGTGAACACGCAGATAGAACTTGCCCGAATTGGGAAGCACAGCCGGGGCATGAATTCTCCTTCGACGCATCCAATTGAGCGATCACGGCTGGACCCTTGGACTTAGCCGGCGATGTAGACCCATCAGACATCAATTTTGGGGACTTTGCTGGGGACAACGCACGCTTGGACCTCAAGACTGAACCTTGGTTTCTCTCTAATCTCTATTATGGTAACACAAATCATACTCCATGTTAGAACTACTGATAAGAGCACTTTATAAAAGTGATCTAATTGTAGAAAGCACATATGGGAAGAAAAAAACAAAGCTCTGTAGGCATACCTAATAGCTCCATTACAAAGAGGCATATTGCATCGTTTCACAGAGCAGGCACCAATCCATTGCTTGCTGAATGTAAAAAAAATATCATGCCAAACAACCAAATGGAGGAATCAATAACACAAGATGTTGCATCTTAACTGAATGAGGCAATTATATAGAATACTCGATATCACAGATAGTACAGGTAGGCAAACAATTTCAAAACTGGCTCATTTTTGTTCATGGTAGTGTATTTATATCCTGAGCACAAAGTATTTATCTTAACTGAAGCTAACGTGGGGGGAGGCAATAAAAAGAGATTTGAAAGGTTGGGATATGATCTTTGTTTGGATAGGAGTGCTTGGAAAGCGGCTATTGACGTGCCTGAACCGTGACTAGGGGCTCATGTTGGGTTTCAACTCTAGCCTACCCCAACTTGATTGGGACTAAAAGGCTTTGTTGTTGTTGTTGTAATGTATGTTGACTGTACAAACCAAGCATAGCAGTAGCTGAATCTATCACAGAAAGCATCAAAGAGTCCACACTGATCAAGTAAGGTATACAAAACAAAGGCCGCAGGGGGGATGGGAACAAAGAATGAGGTAGGATCTATACAGCATAACAGACATACCACACTTCACAAATAGGAAAGAAGCCCTTCAGTCTGGCCATAACCTGCATACATAGGTGATAAAGTCTAAATCGAAGATCCTAATCCAACCCGCATAGCAAAAAAAAAAAAAAAAAAAAAACAAATGTCGAATCTCTAAGCATAACACTAAAAAAAAACATGTCAGATAAAGGTGCTTTGTTGCTAGCTTCGTCATGAACCTGTAATATCGAACTAAAGGTATGAGAGACAGCCTATACATTTATAAATTTAAATACATGGAAACAGCCATCGTTAAAGAATATGGTTTAGCAACTCTTTTAGACAATTCTTTTAGAGAGCAGAGAGGAAGAGCAAAACCTGCTTCTGTCCCGAGTCCACAAAATTAAACAATTGTTCTTCAGGCTGCAACCAACCAACTAACCAATGAATCAGCCTAGCGAGGCAAATAAGGCGGAGAAAAATTCCGAATCACCTAGAAAGTGAAGCAACTCACCTTCTCGATCCGTTCTGGATCGGCAGGAGGTTGTCCAAGGAGAGAAACAGGCCGCGATCGATGGGATGTTCCACTGTCCCAGTCCTCGTGGGCGCCGGCGGCCCTCGCCCTCTTGCCCTTCTCTCCAGTGCCGGCAGCCGTTGCCCTGTTGGCCCTATCTGTATGCAGCAAATCAGGACGATGCGAGCCTCCGCGAGCGCCGGGAGAGGGAAATCCGGCAGGGAGAGTAGAGGTAGAGGTAGAGAGAGAGAGAGAGAGAGGAGCAAACCGATCAGCGGACGACGCGAGGTCAAGCAGAGCGGCGCGGAACGCTGGCACCAGCCCTCGCCGGTGTGGGTGGGGGGAGGGGGGCAGCCGCGGCCACCAGCGCCGCGCCGCCTGCGCCGCACCGTACCGGGGCCGCCAACCGCAGGGGCCGCAGCCGTGGGCGTTGGGGCCGACGTCATCGGAGGCACAGGCCGTGGGCGTCGGGGTGGTGCGGGTGGCGGCGGGGACCTTCAGTATGGGCACCGGCAGCGGCGGATCTAGGGCGGATCGGGGGTGAGGGAGGAGGGCCGCCGGGGCCTGCTCGTGCCAGCGCGCCGCCGGCGAGGGCGCCGTCGCCCTCGGCCGCCGCCGCCTCGGGAGAGAGATGGAGGGTTACGCGAGGGGAGCGGGAGATGAGGAGTCGGAGTCGCTTGGGGAGAGAAAAATTCACGCGTGCGGGAGATGTGGCGTCGGGGAGAGAGAGTCGCGCGTGAGGTGGGCGCGGGACGGAAGGAGGGATGGGTGAAGAGGTTTGATCGAGACAATTTGGTCCGTTGGATACGAGTAAGAAAAAAAAAAGGAGTGGACAGATTGCTCGTCCTTTCATTTCAAATGTTACCTGTTAGTTGCATTTTTTTTTTTTGATTTAGGAGAGTTCATGACGGCAGTGGATATTTTTTTATGGCTTTAGAGAAGTTTATATTGGTGCATTATATGTGGTAGAGATAGAGATTGAGATATGTGGTAGAGATAGAGATAAGTTGCTTTGATTTTTTTTGGTACATCTATTTTGCTATGTATATAGATTTAGTATATATCTAGATGCATATCAAATTCTATGTAAAAAAATCAATGCAACTTCTAATTTAGAACGGAGGAAGTACTTGTGTAATAATTTGGAATTACAAAATTGATAAAACAAAATGGTTACTTGTTGCCTGCCATTCTTATCTAAATTTCTTCACTTAACCTATCATTTTATTAAACATTATCTCTTATAATTTAGTTCACTTCAATATTATAGATTAATAAAGTGTACTTTGATTTTATTTCACTTTGGTTATTGACGAACTTAGTAGTAAAATTCTATTCATGTATTTTGAATTTAACGGTATGCACTTTGAGTTGAATTGAGTAAATATCTGAATAAAAATACAAATCTCATACATCTATTTTGTATTCGTATTCGAAAAGATCTATATGGGTATTCGAATCTGAATAAAAATTTGCTGCAGTTTTGGTGCTCAAGTGTATGCGAGAGACCCGGCGACAGATTCTCACGTTGCTGTTGAGAAAAGTTCGTTGAAATTTTGCTAAGCGTAGACAAGATTTGTACCACGAGCTCTAATATGTCTTCAATTTATTGCTGACCGTACATAGATTATGTATCGGGCTGCATGTTTCAGCTAAGGTTACACTTAGATTTCTACAAATTATTTTTTTCTAGTTATTTCTTCGCCGTGTCTTCAGTGAAGTATGATGTTCCACCTTTGAATAATTGTGATACAAGGTTTGATCTATGGCAATCAAGATGCGAGCTATTCTTACAAAGGCTAAAGTGGATGATGCTCTTGACAAATTCAGTAACAAAGATTCAAAGTCTTAGACCAATGAGGAGAATAGAAAATATCATAAGACCTTGACTCAAATTTAGCTTCATCTATCAAATAATATTTTGTAAGATATTTTGTATGAGCTGTAGCTGCTCTATGCCAAGTTAGAGTCAATTTGCACGTCTAAGATTTGACATAATATGAAGATGAAGTTATATGCGCACAAGTTGCAAGAGGGTGGTTCTATTCTTAACCATCTTTCGGCCTTCATGGAGATCATATTAGACCTACAGGCTATGGAGGTAGATTATGATGGTGAGGATTTGGGTCTCATTCTTTTGTGCTCTTTGCTTAGTTCCTTTGCAAATTTCAGAGATACTTTATTATATAGTCATGATACTCTAAGCTGTATCAAGTTTTTAAGGCTTTACACACCAAGGGAAAAATGAATCAGATGTCTTATGAAGGTTTTGCTTCCAGTGGAAAAGCTGTCTATTTGTGGGAGGATAGAAAATAAATCAAACAATGACAATAGAGGCAAAAATTCCAATGGTTACAAAAGGACATTCAAAGTTTGGAGGCAAGGGAGATAAATTCCGCAAGTATTGCAGGAATGACAATAACTTTTTATAACCAAGTGTTATAAATTAAAGAACAAGCATAAGTGAATTGACACATTTATCTATCTATATAACCTATATAGATGAAACCCACTAAGTGCCATAACTTCTATTTCTCTCAATCCTCAGGGTCCCACATCATCTTTGTTATTTATTTTTTTGTTTAAATGTGTGCTTCGAGTTCCATCTATACATCTATGTGGCATCCTCCACTTATGATCCATGCAGCCATTTACGAGTTACTGCGTGGACAACTGTATTATTTATTTATTTATTTTTGTTTAATTGTGTCGGATGATTTAGCTCTGGCAATGCCTAGCAACGTGATCACGTAGACGGATCTAGATGGTAGCAAACGAGACACAAGGATTTATACTGGTTCGGGGCGCGGTGGAGCGCTAAACCCTACTCTAGTGGGTGTGGCTGCTCTTTTTGTATTTGTATGTTCAATTATAGGGGCTGTTGGTCCTAGCTACAAGGTAGATTGGAATGAGACGATGGTGTCGTGGTGGACGTGACGATCGCGGGATCCTTACCCCTCTTTATATAGGTAGAGGGGTAGGGTTACAATGAGGGCGATCAGTGCTACAGATTGGATTCCTAGTTTTCTACAACAGATCAATCCTATCCTACCATAGCTACGATGGCGGCAGATACTCTTGATACGTCGTGATCTTCAAGTCAATGGTTGCGCCTAATCCTCGTGGGCTTCATCCTCGGACGTCCTTCACTTGATGGGCTAAATACATGGTCGGTGAGGGTACCCCGGACCCATATATCTGGCAGTAGCCCCCGTAGGATTTAGTGACGAGCTCGTAGAGCTGTACAATCCTTCGGGTGCTATAGTTCCCTATAGTCTTCGGGTGCCGTAGGCCCCGATGAGCATTCCTCGGGTATTGAGATGTTTGAATACAATCAGAGTCCCGAGTGTCGGGGTGATTGTGCATGTTGCACTTGCTGGCAGTAATGCCTTCCCGAGTTTTGAGAACTACTTGGGTAGAAGTCTCCCACCCATTTGAGCGCATCATTTGCGCACCATTGAATCCTATAAAGAATAAGGATAGTGGTGCCTAGGAACTCGAATCGTTCCATTTCCCATGATTTACTTTGCGGAACCCTCTCGATGACTGGGTCTGTCTTTAATGCCAACCACCATCTCCCCCACTACCGTCCTCAGGGCGCTTATTTAAACAGAGGGTAGGGAGGCCAGTGAGTTTCACCCCCTCCTTTCTTTCCCAAATCCCCTAGCCTCAGACTGAGTGAGAGAGTGGCGATTCTGCTCATACGCCATGGTTCATGGTGCTCCTCGTGGTCGCGCCGTCGCTAGGAGAAAGCATTCAAGATCGGGTTCCACGACAGCCTAGCAATGGTCGTTCTCCTTGGGTCTTAGAGGAAGTTCCATGAAGGTTGGGAGAAACAATATCATCGGTGGCCCGGGTCACCGAGGGCATGGCGGCTGGGCTTGCTGGTGGTCGGCGCACGGAAGATCTCTAGGTCAAAATATCTGTAGAAAATCCTAGAGGGCAAAGGGCGCTTTGCTGTTGCCAGGAAACCTTTTGCCCTGCAGATCCTAACCTAGGAGCTCTCGTGTATCGATTTGGAGGCTTGGAGCCGCCGATTCATTACCGTTCGCTCCTCCCTGATGTTGTAGAAGGTGGTATGGGTTGGCCTCCTCACAGGGCTCCTCCTCCTCTTAGATGTTAGAGGAAGCTTCGCGAGGTAGGACTCCCCAAGGCGTCTTCCAAGCGTCGTCCCTGCTCGTGAAGATCCAAAGGCGAGGTGATGGTCGCCGTGCGCCTTCGTCCGGCTTCTACACTTCATGAGATGTCCGTTGTTGGGTGCGAAATCGATCCTACACTCACAAGGCTATCATAACTGCAGCAGTTTCTAATATATTTTGATTATTGTACACCTGGTGATGTAAATTGTAACAAAGTTTAATCGAAAAAGAATGACTTTCATTGATTTTGAACACTGCTACCTGTGTCCCGATTCGATCAGGTGTTTTGGCGATTTTCGTCCAGTCAAACCGTCCTTGCATTTTTTCAGGCCCCCTTCCCGACCCGATGGGTAGTTAGTATAACTATGGGTTATGCAAGTGATTCAAACTAAAAATTTAGTCTGACCAAGTGTGGTCATTTGTGGCTCCTGAAGCCAGCGATCTTGAATGCTCAAGAATCACTTGGGCGAATAGCGAACACATAAACCTCTAGGGATACCGGGTAGAACAGGTGAACGTCCACTATCACTAAAAGGAAGCAGCAGGACAAAGTCTGACTAGCAAGGGCACATCATAGAACTCTTTTCCCATATTCTAGGAGCTCGTACTTTGGTTACAGCCATGGGCCAACCAGTTTTCTGGTTTCCCACAAAGAGGCACACATCCACTGAAATAAGGTACTTCGATCCTGTTCGAACATTCAGGAGGTTTACATGCTACTCGAGGGATATCCATTGCGCTCAAATACCAGAGGTTTTGGAATTGGTTGGCAACCCTCCCGAACATCCCCCTCACTCTGAGATGGCAGGTTTCGGCTTTCACGGTTCCGGGCCGGAACCACCGACTGCGCCTGCCGCTTTGGTGGGCTACATCGGGCTTTGGTGGGGCCCAAATGTTGGTCCACCCAATTTCACCAGCAATTTTGGGCCTTGGGCCCAGGGTCCGTAAGGGTTTCGACTAGTTTTAGCCGCCCTTATAAGTAGCCAAGGGTGGAGACGGTCCCTCCCTTTGCCGCCACCGACAAAAGTAGTACTGCTCACTCCTCTCCTTACCTTGACCTAGTAGATGTTGTCACATCTAGATCCCACTCTCGGCAGTCGCAGTGATGGCACCGAGAAAGACCCTGGCCTAGAAAACGAAAACCATTAGTTCAGTAGGTGAAGAAGATATGAGCTCGAAGAGCAAGGGGGACGGAGTCCCGTCTCCAGTTCTCCGTGGGAAGTGTCGATGGCGATGGAGGAGGACATCAAAGGCCTTGTGGTTGGGGGATTTCTAGCGCCGAAGGAGCTTTCAGGTTACCGGTGTGC